GGGGGGTTGGTTGGCTAGCTCCCAGTACCAAAAGAAAGGGGAAGGGTGAATGGGAAATCAGGAGCGTGAGACTGACAGTCCCCAGGAACAATGGGGAGAGGCCAATGCTCCAGGTCAGCCTGATTGACAGGCCGGGCAGCTAATCAGAGAGTCAGGAGGCCAGGGGGGGTCCCGTCCTCCAGGTGAGCTGGAATTGCCTGGGTCAGACAGAGTGGGGCCGAGCTAAGGAGAAAGCAAGAGCCTGAGCCAGAGCTGAGCTGGGGAGCAGAGCCGGGCCAGCCAGAGAGAATCAGAGAAGCAGCCCAGAGAGCAGACCTGCCCTGGGGGCAGAGCTGTAGCACACGAAACCTTAAATCAGAGTGAATAAATGAAGACTCAGCACACCACTTCTGAAAGGTTGCTGACCCCAGGGCTAGCCCATTTCACAGGGGCAGTGTATAAGCCAGGAAAGTTTCCCACAATAGCAGAACCTTTCCTGCACTTACATGTTGTTTCCCTTGGTTTCTAAGTAAGCTGTTGCCCCTAAAATACCAGTGTGTTTGGAGTCTTTACTTGGCTTTAACATCTGGTTCAGGGAGGAAAAAAAATCTCCAACAGGATTCACAGGATAAAACGGGGGTAGTTTTGTGAACACATTTGGAAATAGGTGATATTGGGAATACTCAGGAGCCCTGGCCCTAGATCACAGTAACCTTTTGAGTCTGTGTAGGCCTGATCCAAAGCCTATTGAAATCAGTGAGAGTCTTTCCATTGGCTTCAGTGAGATTTAGCTCAAGCCCTTATTGCTAAAAACAATTCCATTAACTCTGAAAGTGAAAGTCAACAGGGAGGTTTCTTAGCTAAAGACAGGCCGTTTCCTGTAGTATAAGCATTTGCAGCTGTAGTATTTAGTCTGCAGCCATCTCTTGCTTGGGTCAGCAGCCTGCCCGGGAATCGCAGCCACTCGGGGAAGTCAGGTATAGTAACAGCTTTAAATTCTTACTCCTCATTAACCTCATTACAGACACTTGTGCTGCATTCATCTCTAGACAGCAGGTTGGTCTGTGGTTTAGCCAATGATACAAATCTGCTTTGGTCGCTGAAACATTCATCTTGCAAAACTGGAAAAGTCCATCCCCACCAAACGTTAATGCCTGGCTCAGTGATATGGCCGACCTCGGAGCCAACCAACGACTGCATTCTGCAGTCTTTGCGCTGACTTCTTAGAGCTCTGTGATTAATGCAGAGTCTGAAGATAGATATGTCGCCTTCCCCCCTACCCGCCTCCATTTGGCCTGACCTCCTTTACTTACTGTCTGTATTATGATGAATCTGGTAGTTTGGACTATTTGTTGTATTTGGAAAAATTAATAAAAATTATAAATGCAAAAAAAGTCAATGATACGAATCTCACCACAGCTACATCTGTCCAGCACCAATGTAGCTGTGGGGTGCTGTGTTCTGCTGTGCCAATTTACAGGGGGGAGAGTTGCACACAGAGGCTTGCTGTGTGAAAGGGGTCACCAGTACAAAAGTTCGAAAACCGCTGATCTAGGATACGATTGACAGACCTGTTCGGCCTGTTGGGTTCTGTGTATTGTGCAACACTTTAACAGCACTTTCGAGTAAACACAGCAGCAGAAGGTACAGTATTTCCACCCCCCAGAGTCCTTTAGGAAGTGAAAGCAGGATTTCCCCACAGCTACTCCCCACCCCTCCAGCTGGGAACTGTATTTCAGGGTCAAACCCGCCTCCGTTATGGCTGGGCTGCCATCTGTGAAATTAGCAATTCCCGCCTGGGAAATCCCAGTTACTGAATGTGGAACAACGGATCACAGTGACACAATTGGGAGGATGTTTGGGTTTGATGTGTTCTTTCCCCCCAAATCCCCACTGACGTTCCTGATGGATTCCTCTACAGCCGCACCGGGGAAGTTGGAACAATGCTGAGGCCTCTGCTGATCCCCTTGACATATTTCTATCTTCAGACCTGGCTGGGAATCTCTCAGGTAAACTCTTGAGCTTTGCCAGGGAAGCACTTTGTGTTTTCTCGTGTTTCTGCTCAAGGCTATGCAGGCAGCCATACTGCCTTAGACCCATAGACATGTAGGGCTATAAGGGACCGCGAGAGGTCATCTAGTGCAGCCTTGTGTGCTGAGGCTGGACCAAGTGCACCGAGACCAGCCCGGACAGGTGTTTGTCTAATCAGGGCCCCACACCCACTTCCACAGTGGTTCCAGTCCAGAGACCTTCTGACTAGCAGCCAAGCTCTGCTCCGTCAGACTCCTTGCTGCTGCCTCCCTGGATATCTTCCTACCACAGCTTTTCCCAGCCCGCACAGCCTCTCCCGGCTCACCCTTCTTTCAGGGCTGGGCTCGCAGGGCTCCCCCGTGGAATCCCCCAACACAATCCCAAACCAAAAGAACAAAATTAAACCAATTTCTGCACGGTTCAGGCTTCCTCCTCCCCCTGCAGGAGCCTCCCTGTTCCCCTCAGGTCGCTCCACTCTGTACTGCCAGGAGAGGGACTGCCGAGGTCTTCCCCATCTCCCTGCAGCCCCTCAAACTCCAGTCCAAACGCCCCCTAGGCTTTACCAACACTACCTTTACCAACAACCGGCTTCCTCCAGGCCAGAGGCAACTCACTGTCCCCAGCCTCCCAGGCCTCCTCCTGGCTGTGGACCCTGCAGTTCTGGCTCCAGGCCTCTGTCTGCCTTTAGCACAAGAGCGGATGTCCCTAGCTGGGTTCGATCACCAGTTGTGCCTAACACCCCTCCAGGTGCCACCCCGCAGCCTAAAGGGGCTCAGACTCTGGTTAACCCCTGGTTAACCAGTGTGGGGTTTATACAACCCACCACAACGGTGTTGCCTCCCTCCATGTGCATTTGGGGGTTGGATCCTGGATGGAACCTTCCCACGGGCACCACCAGCCCTGGAGCACGCAGTGCATGGCTGGCATACGGAGATGGCAACCCGCTGCCTCTCGCTGAGGTAAATGGAGGTAGTTTCTAGATATTCCCGTGGGAGTGGATTGGGATCTCAGTCCCTCCTAGCTCCCGCCCTTCCATGTCCCTTGTTCCCCAGGCTTTGTCTTCCCTATTAATGTATCCCTTCCTGCCTTCCTTCCTAACCTCCCCCTCCCCACCTGCACACAATATATCTATGACACTAACAAACTCCCCGCCCCAGTAAACTAAAAATGCATCTGCAATGATTACAGGGCTCGCTGGTCCTCGGGTGTGCCGCCCCCCCCCCCAAAAAAAAATTGGGGCGCCAAATAACATTTGCCAAGCAACACACTGAGGATTCTGCCTATATGTTCCCACCCCCCGCTTTCCTCTGTCTTGTCTGTTTAGAGGTAAGCCCCTAAGGGCAGAGACCATCTCTTAGTGTGTTTGTACAGGGCTGAGCACAATGGGGCCCCAATCCTGGGTGTGACCTCTAGGTGCTATTGTAACACAAATGCTAATGTGATTGTATGTCTCCTTTATTCTCCCAGGCAGAACGTCAGGAGGAGCTGAGCATGATGAAGGATGCTTTTGATGATCAATATATAGGATGTGCTGAAGAAATGAATAGAACTGCACGTGCACAGATAGACTTGGAAATGTCTCCGTTTAGCCCGCTGTGGGAAAATGCAAGAAAAAAATGGAACAGTGTGAAAATAACAATTTCTCCCCCTCCTCCCCCTGACTTTGAGGATGAGTATGGAATAGCTATAGTAGCCTATACTGACCACAGGCCATACAACGGCAAAACTTTTCCAACTATATTTAACGATGCAGTGAATGGGACTGAGAGATCTCAAACTGCTTCCATGGCCAATTTCCAGTTCAGAGCCTTTCATTATTATTTGACAAGAGCTTTGCAGCTCTTAAGAGGGAAGTGTGATGAGACGAATAAAATGGAGCTGTACCGGGGCACTAATTACATGTACGACGGATCGGGTGAGATCAGGTTTGGACGCTTTGCCTCTTCATCTACTAAGAAAGAGAAGGCTGAGGAGTTTGGCAGGACCACAGTCTTTACCATCCGCACATGCTTTGGTGTGAAGATCCAGGCCATGTCATATAATCCTGACCAAGAAGAAGTGTTAATCCCAGTCCATGAGATATTCAAGGTGACCAAAAAACAAGGGAATAACATCATCCTCCACAGCACAAACCAGGCCTGCAGCTATTTTAACTGCGGTGAGTACTGGGCTGAACATGAGAAATATTTGTGGGGGGCTATTTGCTGTGGTGAATTTGAAAACCCCACTTCAGGGAGAGCTGATGAGAGGGACGCTGACTTGGGGACTTGCCCCCAGGGCTGGGGGAGACAGGCTGCCATGACTCTTGCTGCCAGAGAGGGCTTGGGCTGGGGTGGGTGGACACTGGGTCTCAAGTGCTCACTGAGGAAAGAAGGTGCCTAGACGTCATGGCGATGGGATCACTAGAAAGGCAGGTGAAGGCCCCAAACCACTGCGACAGCAAACCCAGAGACTGTGTGTGACGTTCCCCTGGTGCTATCTGGACCGGTGATCTTCTAAGTCACTCCAGTCCTTGACTCTGGGAGCCAGCCATACCCTCTTCTGCTGTGAGAACCTTCACTGCTGGGCTGGTCACGCACAGCCTCTGGCATGTAAGCTGCTCCTTGGATTGTGCAACCGAATAACACTAGCCAATATCTCCGGTCCCAGACACAACCCTAGGAACCTCCGTCTTGCCGTGTCCAGTTTTCCCACTGGACGCTGCAGGCTTCTATGAGTTTGTCAATTTAACAAAAAAATGTATATGTACCAGACTTGTTATCCCAAGGGGGGGTCTCTGACACATTTCAAACCAAACGTACTGCTTCAGGTAGAATAAACAAACAGATTTATTAACTACAAAAATAAATTTTAAGTGATTATAAGTCAAAGCATAACAGGTCAGATTTGGTCAAATGAAATAAAAGCAAAACACATTCTAAGCTGATCTTAACACTTTCAGAGCCCTTACAAATTTCGATGCTTCTCACCCCAGGCTGGCTGGTTGCCCTTCAGCCAGGCTCTCCCCTTTCATCAGCGCTTCAGTTGCTTGGTGCTGGTGTCTGTAGATGGAGGTGGAAGAGAGAGAGCTTGGCAAACATCTCTTCCTTTTATCATGTTCTTTCTTCCCTCTTGGCTTTGCCACACACCCCCTTCAGGTGAGCATTACCTCATCGCAGTCCCAAACTGACCAAGGGAAGGGGGGTGACTCACTCGAGAGTCCAACAGATCCTTTGTTGCTGCCTAGGCCAGTGTCCTTTGTTCCTGTGAGGCTGGGATGGGTTTGTCCCATACATGCCTTGATGAGGTGTGAACTGCCCCTCTGCTCTTAGAGAGTTTTCTCCTGGGCTTGCTTTAAGCCATGAGGATACATTTTCAGCCTCATATCTATATACATGAAATTATAACCTATAACATTACTATAACATCACTATAACAATGCTCAGTGCATCATGAGCCTTCCGAAGACTCCCGACATGACAAACTTTGCATTGGATACCACACAATCATTTTACAAGGATGAACACGGGGGTGCTGGATGTTCTCCTGAGGTACAAAGTGTCACAATGTGGAAAAGGGAGCAGTCTGGTGGCCTAGCGTTCAGATAGCACATTATTTGGGGCAGTCAGGACTAGGGATGAAGGTGAGGTACTTCAGAGAGATCTAACCAAGTTGGGTGAATGAGCAACACAACATCAGGTGAAATTCACCGACACACATTCAAGGTAACGCACATTGTTAGGAATAGTGTGACTGGATTCTTAATGTGCTGTCCCAGCTCAGAAAGAGACCGGGCCATCATTGTGGAGAGTCGGTGCAAATCTCAATGAAAATCTCTGTTCAATGTGCTGCTAGGTCTATAAAGCAAATAAAATGTTAGCAAACATAAGGAATGATGTGATGGAGAATAATGTGAAGATATTATACCACCATTATATGAACCCTTCTCTGGGATAGTAGGTTCCGTTCTGATTACCCTGGCTCTAAAAGTGTTGAAAATGATGAGAAGTCTGGAGAGATTTATAAAGGTGAGCTTGGGATGGTTTAATTAAGAGAAGAGACACATAAAAAGAAACATGATGGAGATATACAAAATAATAAATGAGACAGTGGCAAATTAGAGAGTGCCATTTTCCCTTTCTCATAAAACAAGAATAAACAGAAGGCAACATTGGTTAACTAGTAAAAGGAAATGCCCTGTTATATAATGCAGGGTTAACTTGTGGAACTCATTGCCACATGGTTTCCATAAGGTCAAGAGCTCAGTAGAATTCAATAAAAGAATTAGCCATTGATACAGAAAGTGAGAATCTCCACAGTTATGTTATATAAAATAAAAGAATTGTTTTTAAAAGGATTATAATTCCTTAGGCCTGAGGACATAAGGTCGTCACTAACTGCCAGGGTTGGGGAAGAAACTTCCCTTGTGTGTCGGTAATTCCAGAATTGTTCACTGGGGATTTCTTGCAGCTTCCCCGAGGCAGCTGGGGATGTATCCCTCACCTCAATCAGGGACAGGATACCAGGCTAGATGGATCCCATTGGTGGAATCCAATCCAACAGTTCCTATGTTTCTTTGGAAACAGTAGAGTGAAGTTGAAAATTCTACCTGGGCAGGTCCCATTTCATTGACCTTCTCTGTTTGTACCGTAGGAGAGAAGAAACAAGCATGTGCTTACAACTCTGGTAAGAAAGAATCTTTTTCTTTACATTGTTTTGAAAATAATTTGCCCTGTGTATTGAAGTGCAGAGCCAAGAGCAACCCCACCAGGCAAACATGTCACATGAAACCAGTTGAGAAATAAGTGGGTTTAACTGTAGGTTCTCTCTATTTATCCAATTTCTCATATGTCCCTCGTGACTAGTATCTGAGCACCTTCAGGTCTCAATGAATTCTAAGTCCAGTTGATTTCAAAATGGAACATGTGGGGAGAATTAGTCCTTCGAGCACTAAAGAGTCATCTTCAGTGTCCTGAACTATAAGCTGAAGACTCATCCCCTAACCCTACAACACAAGTGTATCTCCATCTCCCTCCTCTCATAACTAGACCCATTCTAGCCCCAGTGGAACTACATCCTCTCAAGGACTAAACAGGACTATTTTACCAGAGCAGGTCAGAGAAATCTCAATGAAACATTTTCTTGTTGGAATTTGACAATAGGGCTGCCTAGGAATCATGGACCCCAGGACTTCCAGTGCCCCCAACCCTGGGACAGCCTGCTTGGTGCACTGCCCCAGAGCTGACGCTCCCTTCCCTTGTGTGGAGAATTTCAAAATTTTTCATTTTCATTTCAAATCAGAACAAAATGAAATTTTGAAATATCAAAATCCTCCACAAAATGAAATGGCCTTTCTCTGCCCAGCTCTACATTTCCCCCTAAAGCCAATAAAAAAACCCCAAGAGAAATGGTGTTACTGGTGTTTGCGGCCAGTTTCCACAGACTCATGTCTTTATTACTCATAACTGGAATACACTTACGCAGCAGACAACAAGCTCCAAATCTGAACCTCTGGAACTGTCTTGGGGGAAACATGCTCACCAGTGATTCATACCAAAGGAACAAGCAGGCTGAGGAGGGAGGAAGCAGGTGAAATCTCGCCAGTGAGGTGAATGTCCCAGGCTGGAGTGTCCTGCTGAGGGGAAATGAATTAATGTCTCTCTGAAATAAGCAGATTTCAGCAACTGTTGGGAAGGAAACCTGTATTTCAGCTTTAAGGATCTCTGTCTGTGTGAAATAATTTCCTATCAATTCTTTGATCTGCTTTTTCCTATTAACAGCTACCAGAGGCGGCCCAGCCTTCCCCAGTGAGCTGAGCTCTTCACTGTTTGGAGGATCCATCATCCTGGTCCACGTTGCTGCTCTGAAGCTGTTTGCTGGTTTCTAAATTGTCCTATTTGTGTTACTCACTTTTTCTCTCTAACACAAATCATGGCGATGGGACTTGCCAGATCCAAAGCCGCCCTGCTATGCTGCCAGCGTTCCAAAGGGAAACCAGGAACATGGAGGGAGTGTCGCTGGTACCTGCTTGGGCAAGCTTTGATTACACGTTATCGATGAGTAGATCAAAATGGAAGCTCATAGTTCTGTCCCAGATGGGATTTGTCTTACAGTGCCAGAGCTATAAATGGGTGCACATTAGATAACAGTTATTTGTATTCCAGTCAAGCTAGAATTTTTGTACCGATTTTTGATGACTTCAGTAAAAGACTTTTAAGAAATGAGCTAAGTCGGAGTATTTTCATGAATACCGTAGATGGGTTTAATCTGAGTCTCGGCCAGGTGACTCTGTAACAGCGCAGTTTGTGGGGTCCCATGTCTATATCTCTCAGTCACTTTCATATCAGATTTGCTCAGAAGAGGATATTTCTAAGTGGTGGGCTCATAGGCCAAATTCTGAGCTAGTTTACCCACCTGCCTGCCCACTGACTGTCCTGGGATTGCATGCTCAGAACTTCCATGCATGAGAACGATGCTTCACAAATCAATTAACGCTGGTTGCTGTTTAATAAATTGTATTTGCTTTGAACTGTTTGTAATGATCAAGAACAAATTGCCTTGTGGATAGCAGGGAAGCGGTAGACATGGTATATCTTGACTTTAGTAAGTAAAGGTTTTGATACTGTCTCGCATGACCTTCTCATAAACAAACTAGGCAGTATGTAATGATCAGTGGGTCAGGGAAGGGAAGTGTCCAGTGAGGAGAGGGTACCCCGGAGTGGAGACACCCTAGCTCCTACCCTAAGTGACCACAACAAGGTTGGGGGTTGAGCCCCCCAGGACTCCTGGGCCCAGCCTTTTGGGGGTTACAAGGACTCTGCCACACAGGAGACTGGAAGGGGAGCCCTTGAGGTCAGGCAAGCCTCTGGATACAGGAAGTGGGAGCGAGGACTCAGATCCTTTCACTAGCCCACTTCACCGGGGTAGTGTATAAGCCAGTAAAGTTCCCCACAATAGCAAGATCGTTCCCCCGCTTACATCTAGTCCAGACCAGAGGTTTTCAACATTTTTCACTGGCAGACCCCTAAAAAAATTCAAATGATGGTGCGGACCCCTTTGGAAATCTTAGACATAGTCTGTGGACTGCGCACCACAGGAGGAAACCCACTGATCTAGACATACCTTTTAATGTATCGAATAGTACCTCATACACATGGGTATCAGCTCCTTGCCCTTCACAAATAACATATACACAGACATCTACAGCATCGTGATTTCATGTTAAGACACGATTACATTCGGGGGGGAAAAAATCCTGTAATAGAATCAAAGTGTCTCCACTTTTTAATGATAGATCATAGAATTTCTAGGGGCAGGGCCTGGGGAAATCCACATTGTCCTCCCCTCAGCCCTAGAGAAGATATCTGAAAAGGTAATACAGTCTGGGACTATACTGAGCATTTTGCAGGGCCTTTGGGTACGTCGACACTGTAATCAAACACAAGCGACTGGCCCGTGGCAGCTGACTCAGGCTTATGGGGCGATAAATTTGCAGTGTAGATGTCTGGGCTCAGGCTGGAGCCTGAGCTCTGGGACCCACCCCCTTCGCAGGGAGCCGAAACAGCTACACTGCCACTTTATAGCCCCGCTGTCCGAGCCCCGGTGCAGTGTAAACAGACCCTTCGGCCCTACTAGAAATCACAGGCGACGCTACAGCCTATTGAGTCTATAGGATGCAGCTCCATTAGTGGTGACACAGCAAGATAACAGAGGAGAAATGTGCAAAAAATCAGTATTGGGTTCGGGAAAGGTTGCAGATGTGGGGTTTTACAGTGAAAAGGTGGTGTTCTTCCCTTGAGAGTCAAGTTATTTCTTTGGGCTTCCATTCAAAAGTGGACACTGCCCTTAACAAAGAAAACAGGAGTCACTGAGAATGTGGCTGCATCAAAGCTGCGATATTTTTTGGCAGCGTCAAACTACCATGGAAGAGCCATTTTGATGGAATAAGCTTCACCTGGCCCTTTGTTGTTAAAAGAAATATGAAATGTGTTTAGCTTCATTTTCCACATACTTGTTCTGTACACACGTCACACCCCTACATTTCAGACCCATTCACTCTGTGCGCACATCCATCCCCTCACCCCCAGGAACGGCTCAGCAGTTGCCTACATCAGGGGAAGTCCCACCTTCTCCAGTAAATACCCCAGGCCCATTGCTCCCCGCTCCTGGCCTGATCTTGCTTTCCCCAAGCAAGACACCGCCACGGCCTAGTCCCCATGTCACTGGCTCTCTGGCAGGATCCAGTCTCGAAATTCCAATGCCTGGCTCCCTTTCCCAGGCCAGAAAATCAACCCCCAAAGACCGAACTCCACAGTAGGCCCTCCCACTGAGGAGTCAGCCCAGCAGGTGAACAGGAGAGGCAAGCAAGGGAGTTTTGCAGGGCGTAGCTGTGGATCCGGTGCATGGAGGTAAAGGGAATTAGTGAGTTGTGTGTTGGTCTGTGTGTTTGTGTCTCTGAGGGGGCTGTATGACTGTGAGGCTTGGGCCTAGGGTCAGCCCTGGTGTTTGACGTTCAAGTTGTTTAACCCCCCATTAGCGGGGTGGCGAGGTGCCCGGTTTTTGACCGGGAAGTCCTGTTGAAGAAGGGACCTGACAGCGTCTGGTGAAATTTACTGACCAAACATGCGAAGTCCGGTTACTGCTGGCGGAGGAGGCAGGGAGGCGCTGGGTCATCACCTGCACCAGCCTCTACTCAGCCGGGGCCACCTCCGACCTGCATCGGACGGCTGCAGCTTCCAGCCCCGGCTCTGCAGGCGAGTCCTTCCCAGTCTGGGCAGGAGAGAGAGGTAAATAGCAGTGAACGATGGGGGATGGCTGCAGGCCTTGATAAAGGCCTGAACAGGTACTGGGCCTACAGAGGGGTAGCCTGGGGTAGGCAAAGGCAGCAGGTCCAAACCCCCCTTTGCCAGTGATGAATGGCGTGGACACTGCAGTCTGCCCCAGTGAGCGGGGGCTAGACGGGAACTGGCAGTAGCCAAAGACTGAGGCAAGGTGGGGATAGGGGGTTGGGGGTTCCCCTGGGAGGGGAGACCCAGAGACTGTGGGGATACTGCCAGGGGGCAGCCCCCAAGGGAAAGGGGCTCCGGGGTCCAGGAGGGACACGGGGGCCAGTGGCAAGCGGGACACCGGCCTGCAGAGAGCGCTCCGGAGGCTGGCGAGCTAATTCCCTGGGCGACCAGCAGGAGGCGCTGCACCAGTGAGTGCCGCCCCGTGACAGGAGGATTGAATCTGGGGCATCTGGAGCTTAGCGCATGAGCCTCTACTGCAGGGGTGGGCAAACTACAGCCTGGGGGCCACATCCGGCCCTCGAGCTCCCGCTGGGGAGCAGGGTTGGGGGCTTGCCCCGCTCCGTGCCATGGCTCCACACGGCTTCCAGAAGCGGTGGCATGTCCCCACTCTGGCTCCTACACATAGGGGCAGCCAGGGGGCTCCGCATACTGCCCCAAGCCCCAAGTGCTGCTCCCGCAGCTCCCATTGGCCAGGAACCAGGGCAAATGAGAGCTGCTGGGGTGGCGCCTGTGGATGGGGCAGCTTGCAGAGCCACCCAGACACGCCTCCATGTAGGAGCCAGAGGGGGGACATACTGCTGCTTCTGGGAGCTGCTTGAGGTAAGCGCCGCCTGGAGCCTGCACCCCTGACCCCTTCCTGCACCCCAACCACCTGCCCTAGCGCTGATACCCCTCCTGCCCTCTGAGCCCCTTGGTCCCAGCCCACAGCAGCCTCCTGTACCCCCAACCCCTCATCCCCAGAGCCCGCACCCCCAGCTGGAGCCCTCATCCCTCCCTCACCTCAACCCGCTGCCCCAGTCCGGAGCCCCTTCCCACACCCTGAACTCCTAATTTCTGGCCCCACCCCGGAGCCCTCACCCCCTCCCGCCCTCCAACCCCCAATTTCATGAGCATTTGTGGCCCACCATACAATTTCCATACCCAGATGTGGCCCTTGGGCCAAAAAGTTTGCCCACCCCTGCTCTACAGAATAAGCTAAAAGCTACGTGGCCCTTCGCTAACATTATTGAGCAGACTCACTAATCTCTCTCTCTACATGGTCCTGGTGCCATTAGATGGGACAAAGCACCACAGCCGGTAGGTGTGTGGGTTACACCAGTGGTTTTCAAACTTTTTTTCTGGGGACCCAGTTGAAGAAAATTGTTGATCCCATGACCCAATGGAGCTGGGGATGAGGGGTTTGGGGTGTGGGAGGGGCTCAGGGCTGAGCAGAGAGTTGGGGTGCAGGGGTGAGGGCTGTGGGGTGAGGCTGGGAATGAGGGATTCAGGGTGTGGGACGGGACTCTGGGCTGGGGCAGGAGGTTGGGATGCTGGAGGGGATCATCATCTGGGGGTGCAGACTTTGGGGTTGGGCTGGGGAAGAGGAGTTTGGGGTGCTCTGGGGGCTCCAGGTTTGGGGGGGGCTCAGCGCTGGGGTTGGGGCACAAACTTACCGTTGGCGGCTCCCTGTCAGTGGCGCAGCCGGGATGCAGAGGCAGGTTTCCCACCTGTCCTAGCACTGTGGACCGTGCTGTGCCTGACTCCAGAAGGGGAACAAGGCCCTGAGGTAAGGGTGAAGAATGTGTGGGAGCCATGGGGAAGTGACCCAGGGAATTACAGCAGCAACACAGTTTATTTAAAGGGACATTACAGATGGCTGCTCTCTATAGGGTCCCTGGGCTTGGACCTGAAGTAGAGGGTGGGCCTGGTTCCCCTGTCTCCAGCCACTGGTAAAGTGGCCTGGACTTTGAGGCACCCCAGAAGAGGGACTGAACTGTACTGGCCCAGATGAAGAGCTGGGGCCAGAGAGGGTGAAGACGCTGCCTCCAAGGAAGGAGCCTTGGAGCACTGCTCTATTCTGGAACAGGGACAAACAGAGAGAGACATCACAGAGGGCACTGAGAGAGGCCCCTGTTGCACTTGTACCCCGAAAGGGGTTTATTTTTTTCTCACAGACAGCATGTGTATGACTTGGCCAGAGGGCTGAGTCACCGAAGAGCCACCACAGACAGAGGCTGCAGGCACATGCAATCGGCCCGGGGGTGCTTGTGAGAAGTGAGTGTGACCCTGTTACAGATGCACTTGGGCAGATCCAGGAGCTATCTCTTTTGATAGCTACCCCTGATCTGCAACTGCCCCAGAATCGTCTGGTTACAAGGTCTCCCAATCACAAGCGGTGGAGTAGCCCCTCCCAGCTGAGCTCTGAACCCCAGGGCAGGTTCCACTGCCTCTCCTCATGCCCTGGCCATTTCTGTATCTTACCAAGAAGTTAATCTTTCGGGTGGTTTGATGGCTCTGATCAGTTCTGTCTCAGACCTTTCTATAGGTGGTGTGAATTTAATAAATCATTGGCTAACTGATTAATCAGGTGTGTGAGCTTCACAGCGACTGGAGCTTGCCACGAATTATCTCTGAAAGATGCTCATAGCAGTTCTAGGAATGTGAGTAACAAGCAAGGGGAACTGGAAATGCTCATTGAGAAGACGTGTGATGGGAATGGAGTTACTGAAACCCGATGGGATGACTTGCACTTAACTGGAATGTTAAAATCACTGGTTATAACCTGTTCAGGAAGTCCAGAGTGAGTAAAAGAGGTGGGGGGTTGGGGCAGGGGTGCCACTCTACATTACTAATACCTCAGGACCTTCAATGCACATAGGTCAATGTGCCAATTAACAAAAACCAGGAGATGGTACTGCTGGGGCTCTGTTACAGGCCACTGGTTCAGACCAGAGAACAACTGTGTGTAATGTGCAGACAGAAAATCTGTGGTGTTATGGCTCTTGGGAGACACATACTGGAGATCTCATGAAGCCAGTAGTAAAGCATCATTACAGTTTCTAAAAATTGTTCATGATTTTCTAAACCCTCAAATATTGCACCAAATACATTGTAACACTATTTTGGACTTTATTATGGTAGATACAGATGAATTAATCACTGGTCTGGAAGTTGATGTTTGCCTAAGGAACAGGGAACATGATCTGATTACGTTCAATATGGGCAAATAAAAAGGACTAATTTTAATTTTCCAAAGCTGAGGAAAGTGAGTGAAATTAATTGGGGGGGGGGGGAGTGTAGACAGAAAAATCTGAATGAAAATTGGGAGCTTTTTAAAAAGAGTTTATTAGACGGCCAAAAAGCCACACTGAAGAAAGAGGGGAACTTGGGCTAAAAGCCCATCCTGGTTCAGTGAGGAAGTGAAGGCAGCATTTAGAAATAAAACACTATATAAGAAATGGGAAAAGTGGAAATAGATAGCTTTTAATTTATATTGATTGCTATCAAGTGTAGACAATAGATAAGGGATGCTAAAGACATCAAGGAAAACTCTGGTAAAGCTAAGGATAATAAGCTTTTAAAGTACATTAGGAACACAAGAAATGTGCTAACACTGGTCTAGGCTCTTTATTAGGCCTGGATAACTTGTATCCAAGAGCCCCAAAAGCATTAGCTGAGGAGATCTCCAGCCCACTGATGTTAGATTTTAATCTTGGAATAACGGAGAAATTCCAGAATATTGGAAGTTGTGCTAATATTCTAAAAGGGCATGTGGGATGACCTGGGTAACTATAGGCTGGTTAGTCTGACATTAGTCCCAGGCAAATAACAGAAAAGATGATATGAGATTCTGTTGATAAAGAATTAAAGGCTGGGTATTCTTGCCATTCAACCTGGTTTTATGGAAAATAGGTCTTGGTAAAAAGACCTGATTTCATTTTTGGGTGAGATTATAAATTTTGCTGCTCATGGTAACTGGTTTGGCATAATAGAGTTAGATTTCTCTAAGGCAAGTGACCTACTCCCACCCAACATACTGATAAAAAATCAGCACTAGACATAATGTAGTCCATATTTAACGGCATCAAAACTCGTTAGCTGATATATCACAAAAAGTAATTGTAAATGGGGACTCATCATCCAATGGGGGTGTTTGAAGTGGGCTTCTGTAAAGCAAAGTAGTATTCAATACCTTTATCAATGAGTTGGAAGAAAATATAAAATCATTGCTGGTAAAATTTGCAGATGATACAAAAATTGGTTGAGTGGTAAATAATGATAGGTAGGGACAGGTAAGTTATACAGGTCGGCGTGATCTAGGTACTTTGTAAAGAGGGCTAACTTAAATAACTTATTTTAATACATCTAAAACAACACAGAGCAAACTATATAGCTCACACGTACAAGATGAGGGACTGGAATATGGAATAGGAGCAGGAAGTTGAATTGGCGAGACAATTACTGATATAGTTGTGACATTCTATACCTTGAGGGAGCGTCCTGTAACCCCCATATTCCTCATTTTTTATATAATCGTGATCTTACCTTACAAGGCTGCCCCCTATGTATCAGGGAAAAGGTTGTGATCTGCTGAAAGTCATTTCTCTGTCCATATATGTGTATCATTAATGCATATGAAGGTCTGAGAATTGTGTAGTATGGTGGTCACTAAAACATGCTGTAAGTTGCGGAATCAGCCAGATATTCGCTCCCCAGAGGCAACAGGAAGGAAAGTAACCAACGCCTGGGTGGGGTGTCAGACAACCCATCAACAGCCATTGTCCAGCAGGGGAGCTACAATGCAATGACTCGCCTGCATGAGGCCACACCAGGGGAATTGCTCAATCTTGCTTGGAGAGACTCAGCAATGCCCCCAGACATGCCTGGACTTGTGTGTTCCCCAAGCACATGGGACTGAGGGTATAGAACAGAACAGAGCAGGCCCACGCTTCGCCTTTCTCCTGCCCCACCTATGCTGCAAGCAACCAAGACACTCAGACGAAAACTGAAGACTCCAACAGAGGAGACTGGCCCAGGTTTAAGGGACAAACCTGTATATTAAGCAGAGGCGCTGACTACTTGGGTGCTCCAGGGCTGGAGCACCCACAGGGAAAAATTGGTGGGTGCTGAACACCTGCCGGCAGCCCCCCTATCAGCTCCCGCTGTCGGCCCCACTGATCAGTGCCTCCCGCTCCCTCCCTGTGCCTCCTGCGATCAGCTGTTCTGTGGCATTGGGGAGGCTCTGAGGGGGTAGGAGCAAAGATGTGGTGCGCTCAGGGGAGGGGGGGAACTGGGCAGGAAGGGGGTGTGTGGGATGAGGGTAGGAAGAGCTGTGGTGGGAGTGGGGTCTTGGGGGAAGAGGTGGAGTGGGGGCGGGGCCAGGGGCAGAGATGGGGGTCAAGCACCCCCTGGCACTTTTGAAAGTCGGTGCCTATGATATTAAGGATGGCAATATCCAGTGGGGTGAGAAAAACTGTTTAGTCTAGCCGTTGCCCAATCTAATGGTTGAGAGTTTAGACCGTGCGCACTTTTTTCTTTTGGTAACTAACTGACTTTTTGCCTAACACTTATAGCCACTTGAAATCTATCTTTTTGTCATCAATAAATTTGTTTAGTTGTTTATCTTTATCAGTGAGTTTGCCTGAAGCGTGTGGCAAATGTGCTCAGGTTGGCAAAGGCTGGTGTATGTCCACTTTCCATTGATGAAGTGGTGAACCAATTAATAAATCTGCACTGCTCGTCTTGAGCAGGGCAAGATGGTATATTCCTGAGGTGCAGTGCTGGGAGGATTTGGCTCTGGTGCCTTTCCCTGTGTGATCCTTGAGTGGCTCTGGGAGCATTCATGCAATCTAGCTGGGTGTGGGGCTCCACATGCTGTTGTGTTGAGTGATCACAGCGCCTGGAGGGGTTTGCTGCTGGTCACTAGCAAGGCATTGTGAAAGACAGCGCAGGCTGGAGAGAGTTCAGGGGGCACAGTGGTCCCACAGTCCCAGGCTGCACCCTGGGGATCCCATCACAATTGTGTCCAGTTCCAGTGTCCTCCTGATGGCCCAATCTGACTATTAAGAATATCCATACACACGCCCTGCCCCTTGCTGGATCACGTCCACTGCCATGGTAGCGGTCAGGCCTACCTATGCTGTTACTGATTAGACCCCACGAAATCCCAGGACAGTCAGTGGGCAGGCAGGTGGGTAAACTAGCCCAGAATTGGACCTTTGATTTCACCAATTAAAAATATCCTCTTCTGAGAAAGTTTGATATGAAAGTGACTGAGAGATATAGACATGGGACCCCACAAACTGTCCTGTTACAGATTCACCTGGCCGAGACACAGATTAACCCTATCTACTGTTTTAATTAAAATAGTTTGACTTAGTTCATTTCTTAGAAGTCTTTTACTGAAGTCATCAAAAATCGGTACAAAAGTGCTAACAGGACAGGAAGACAAGTATTTATATATCAGGCACCAATTTATAGCTCTGGCACTGTAAAACAAATCCCACCTGGAACAGAACTATGAGCTTCCATTTTGATCTACTCATCGATAACGTACAATCAAAGCTTGCCCAAGCAGGTACCAGCGACACTCCCTCCATGTTCCTGGTTTCCCTTTGAAACACTGGTAGAATTGCAGGGCGGCTTTGGATCTGGCAAATCCCATCACCATGATTTGTGATAGAGAGAAAAAGTGAGTAACACAAATAGGACAATTTAGAAACCAGCAAACAGCTTCAGAGCAATAACGTGGATCAGGATGATGGATCCTCTAAACAGTGAGGGCTCAGCTCACCGGGAAAGGCCGGGCCTCTTTTGGTAGCTGTTAATAGGAAAAAGCAGATCAAACAACTGATAGGAAATTATTTCACACTGACCGAGATCCTTAAAGCTGGACACAGGTGTCCTTCCAAACAGCTACTGGAACCTACTTATTACAGAGGGACGTTAATCCATTTCCCCTCAGCAGGACACTCTGGCCTGGGACATTCACCTCACTGCTGAGATATTTCACCTGCTTCTTCCCTCCTCGGCCTGCTTGTTTCTTCAGTATCAATCATTGGTGAGCACGTTTCCCCCAAGACAGTTCCAGAGGTTCAGATTTGGAGCTTGTTGTCTGCTGCGTAAGTGTATTCCAGTTATGAATAATAAAGACATGAGTCTGGAACACTGGCCACACACACCAGTAACACCATTTCTGTTGGTTGGTTTTTATTGGCTTTAGGGGAAATATAGAGCTGAGCAGAAAAGGCTCATTCCATTTCGTGGAGGATTTTGAAATTTCAAAATTTGGTTTTGTTCAGACTTGGAATAAAAAAACCCCCAAAATTTTGAAATTCTCCACACAAGGGACTAGAGTGTCGGCTCTGGGGTGGTCCACCAAGCAGGCTGTCCCAGGGTCAGGGGCATTGGAAGTCCTGGGTCTATGACTCCTAGGCAGCCCGCCAGCCAAGCTGCCAAGGAGCCAGGCGGGTGATCTGGCCAGAACCCAGGCAGCGTTCTGATAGAACAGTGTCGAAATCAAACCAGCTCTGCAAAAGGTGAAGAGTTTGATGATTTGTCAAATTCCAACGAGAAAATATTTTGTTGAGATTTTTCCGACCTGCTCTGGTAAAATAGTCCTGTTTAGTCCTTTGAGAGGATGTAGTTCCACTGGGGCTAGAATGGGACTAGTTATGAGAGGAGGGAGATGGAGACAAACTTGTGGTGTTGGGTTAGGGGATGTGTGTTCAGTTTATAGTTCAGGACACTGAAGATGAATCTTTAGGGCTCGAAGGGGTTATTCTCCTTAAATTTTCTTTTCTGAAATCAACTGTGCCTGGAATTGAGTCAGACGTGAAGGTGTCAGATACTAGTCATGAGCTCCCTACGAGAACCTGGATCAATAGACAGAACGTGCAGTTCACCCCACTTATTTCTCAGCTGGTTTCATGTGACATGTTTGCCTGGTGGGGTTGTTCTCTGCTCTGCACTTCAATAAAGAGGGCGAGTCATTTTCAAAAGAATGAAAACAAAAATGTTCTTTCTTACCAGAGTGGTAAACACGTTTGGTCCTTCTTTCCTACAGTACAAACAGAGAGAGTCAATGAAATGGGATCTGCCCAGGTAGAATTTTCAACTGCATTCTACTATTTCCAAAGAAACATAGGAACCATCGGACTGGATCTAGCCTGGTCTCCTGTCCCTGATTGAGGTCAGGCCCAACTGTATCAGGAGAAGCTGTAAGAAACCCCAGTGGGGAATAACATACACATATAGGAAATTACTTCCCCCAACCCTGGCAGTTAGTGACTGTCTTTTGTCCTCAGGCCTAAGGGTGTATTGCTCTTTTAAAAACAATTAGTTTATCCTATGTAACATAACTGTGGAGATTCTAACTGTCTATATCAATGGCTAATTTTTTTTTTTAAGTCTACTGAGCTCTTGCAGTTATGGAAATGTTGTGTCAATGAGTTCCACAAGTTAACCCTGCATTGTATATAACAGGGCACACTCTTTTACTAGTTGAAATATATTTGTCTTCAGTTTATTCTTGTTTTATGAGAAAGTGGTAAATTATACACTGCCATTTCCCCCGTCTCATTTATTATTTTGTATATCTCCAACATGTTTTCTTTTATATCTTTTCTCTGAGCTCAACCATCCCAATCTCTCCCATAGAAACCTCTCCAGACCTCTGATCATTTTCATCCCTTGTCTCTGAACTCTTTCTCCACCCCCACCTCCCCCCAATAAATCTTTTAGAGCTCGGTGATCAGAACCAAACCTAGTATTCCAGGGAAGAGTGCCCCATTGATTCATGTTCTAATTAAGGCTGCGAGTCTGTCCCGGAGGTCACGGATTCTGTGACTTCTACACCTGGTAGGTGCAACTGACCCCAGGGTGGCTCCGGTGCCAGCCACACTGCCCTCCCCCGGCGGCACCGGACCTGGGCGAGCGGGGCCCTTCCCCCAGCAGGTGCCACGGAGCCCCTGAGAACACTCAAGATTTAGTCTGGGGTATATAGTACAAGTCATGGACAGGTCCAGCAGCGTATTATAACCTAGGGTGGCAAATATTCAGGGGCAGCAAATTTATAATAGCATTTTCGTAATTGCGGCATCAGTGACGCCGCGATTCTACCAATCATAGCGCGTATTGAAACCACCAATGACGGCGTGACGCCATTTAGTAAACATACTCGTGAGAATCCTAAACGTTAATAATATGACTGGAAGGAAGAAATGAAGCGGTTCTCAGTTCTGGATCCATGCCTGGTCCCGCGCTATAAGCGAAATCGCGCTATACAGACGTGCGTTCAAGCGAGGGTCCGCTGTACTTGTCATTTTATTTATAATAAAACTTGTAAATGTTCAATTATTTTAATGATATTTAGATTCATTTTAGTTCAAATGAATTTGTAAAAAAACTAAAACAAGTTCATATGGGGCTGGGGGCGGCAATTATTTCAGGGCCTGGGGTGGCAAAATCATTAATCCACCACTGGACAGGTCACGGGGCCTTGAAATTTTGTTTCTTGCCTGTGACTTAGCCATGACTTTTACTTAAAAAAAAAAACCATGACTAAATCTTAGCCTTAGTTATTAATATCTTCACATTATTCTCCATCCCATCATTCCCGATGCAGGGTAACGTTTTGTTGGCTTTATAGACCTAGCAGCACATTGAACAGAGGTTTGCATTGAGATTTGCACTGAAGTCTCCCCAATGCTGGCCCGGTCTCTGTCTGAGTCGATACAGCTCATTAACAATGCAGTGAAATTATCCCTCACAATGGGCATTACCTTGAATGTGTGTCAGTGAATGTCACCTGATGTTGCGTTGCCCATTCACCTAACGTGGTTAGATAATAATATGACATATGGAGATATACCTCTCTCCTAGAACTGGAAGGGACCCCAAAAGGTCATCAAGACCAGCCCCCTGCCTTCACTAGCAGGACCACATACTGAATGTGCCCCAGATCCCTCAGTGGCTGCCTCAAGGACTGAACTCACAGCCCTGGATTTAGCAGACCAGTGCTCAAACCACTGAGCTATCCCTCCCCGCTTCTTGCTGAAGCTCCTCACCGTCGTCCCTAGTCCTGACTGCCCCGAATAATGCGCCATCTGCACACTAGGCCACCCCCCTGCTCCCTTCCCACAGCCTCTGGGTTTGCTGTGCTTTGTCTGAGAAGCCACAACTGCTCTGCCAGGGCTCCTGTGGGCTCTGTACGGGGCGTGTGTGTGTTAAAGACTCGCGGTGGTTTGGGGCCTTCACCTGCCTTTCTAGTGCTCCCATCACCATAATGTCTAGGCACTTCTCTTTCCTCAGTGAGCACCTGGGACCCAGTGTCCACCCATCCCAGCACGAGCCCTCTCTAGCAGCAAGAATCGTGGCAGCCTGTCTCCCCCAGCCCTGGTGGCAAGTCCCCATGTCAGTGTTCCTCTCATCAGCTCTCCCTGAAGTGGGGTTTTCAAATTCACCACAGCAAATAGCCCCACACAAATATTTCTCGTGTTCAGCCCAGTACTCACCGCCCAGGTACGCGCAGTTAAAATGGCTGCAGGTCCGGTTTGTGCTCCATAGGACAAAGTTGTTACTCCCTTGTCCTTGGGACACGCTGAATACCTCATGGACTGGGATTAACACTTCTTCGTCAGGAGGACTGTATGAGAAGTTCCAGATCTTCACACCGAAGCACGTGTGGATGGTGAAGAGTGTGGACGTGGCGGTGAGGTTCTTAGTGCTATATCTCTCAGCCACTTCTTCTTTAACAGACGAAGAGGCAAAGTGTCCAAACCTGATGTCACCTGATTCTATGTGCTGAAAACTGGCAGAAACCCCCCGGTACACCGTCATATTGTACATCACATCACACCTCCCTCGTAAGAGTTGTAAAGCTCTTGTCAAGTAATAATGAAAGGCTTTGAACTGGAAACTGGCCATGTAATGAGCTCGAGATGCCCCAGCCCCTCTCACTGCCGCATTCAACTCACTGTGAAAGTCATCGTCAGTATAGGCTATTATGGCTCTTCCATGCTCATCTTCAAAGCCTTTGGGGAGAGAAATCTCTTTTTTTACACATTCCCATTCTTTTTGTGCATTTTCCCACACCGTTCTAAACACTGAGGACATGGACTTCTCTCTCTCTAGCAGTTCAGGTGCAATTCCAGCCATTTCTTCAGCACATCCTATGTATTGGTCATCAAAAGCGTCATCCATCATGTTCAGCTCCACCTGACATTTTCCCTGGGAGAATAAAGGAAACATACAGTCACATTAGCATTTGTGTTACAATAGCACCAAGAGGTCACACCCAGGATTGGGGCCCCATTGTGCTCGGCCCTGTACAAACACACTAGGAGATGGTCTCTGCCCTTAGGAGCTTACCTCTAAACAGACAAGACAGAGGAAAGGGGGGGAACATATAGGCAGAATCCTCAGTGTGTTGCATGGCAAATGTTATGTTCGGGGGGGCGGAGGGGGCGACATACCCAAGGACCAGCGAGCCCTGTAATCATTGCAGATGCATGTTTAGTTTACTGGGGACTTTGTTAGTGTCATAGATATATTGTGTGCAGGTGGGGAGGGGGAGGTTAGGAAGAAGGCAGGAAGGGACACATTAATAGGGAAGACAAAGCAGGGGGAACAAGAAACATAGAAGGGAGGGGGCTAGGAGGGACTAAAATCCCAATCCACTCCCACGGGAACATCTATAAACTACCCCCTTTCACCTCAGTGGGAGGCAGCGGGTTGCCATCTCCATATGCCAGCCATGCACTGCATGCTCCAGGGCTGGCGATGCCCGTGGGAAGGTTCCATCCAGGATCCAACCCCCGAACGCGCATGGAGGGAGGCAACACCGTTGTGGTGGGTTGTATAAACCCCACACTGGTTAACCAGCGGTTACAGGAGTCTGAGCCCCTTTAGGCTGCGGGGTGGCACCTGGAGGGCGTTACGCATAGGTGGTGATCAAACCCAGCTGGGGACGTCCCCTCTTGGATGAAAGCCAGACAGAGGCCTGGAGCCAGCACTGGAGGGCCCAGAGCCAGGAGGAGACCTAGAGGGCTGGGGGCAGTGAAGCCTGCGGCCAGAGGTGAGTTGCCTCGGGCCAGGAGGAAGCCAGCGGCAGTGTTGGTAAAGCCGAGGGGGCGTTGGGACTGGAGTTTGAGGGGCTGCAGGGAGAGGGGGAAGACTTTGGCAGTCCCTCTCCTGGCAGTAAAGAGCGGAGAGACCTGAGGAGAACAGGAAGGCTCCTGCAGGGTGAGGAGGAAGCCTGAGCCAGGCAGAAATTGGTTTAATTTTGTTCTTTTGGTTTGGGATCCTGTTGGGGGATTCCCCGGGGGAGCCCTGTGAGCCCAGCCCTGAAAGAAGGGTGAGGCAGGAGACGCTGTGCGGGCTGGAAAAAGGCTGTGGTAGGAAGATATCCAGGGAGGCAGCAGCAAGGAGTCTGATGGAGCAGACCTTGGCTGCTGGTCAGAGGGTCCCTGGACTGAAACCCAGTTTAGTAGGAGGGCTGGGGTTCCCTTACCAGCCACTGCAAAATGTGGCAAGCGGCCCTGGTTAGACAAAAACTGTCAGAGGTGGTCTCAGGGCATTTGGTCCAGCCTCAGCAGGGGGGCTGCATCGGATGACCTCTCAAGGTCCCCTCCAGCCCTGCATGTCTATGGGTCTAAGGCAGTATGGTTGCCGGCATAGCCTTGAGCAGAAACACGAGAAAACACAAAGTGCTTCCCTGGCAAAGCTCAAGAGTTTACCTGAGGGATCCCCAGCCAGGTCTGAAGAGAGAAGTATGTCAAGGGGATCAGCAGAGGCTTTATCATGGTTCCAACTTCCCCAGTGCAGCTGTAGGAGAATCCATCAGGAACGTCAGTGGGGATTTGGGGGGCAAGAACACATCAAACCCAAACATCCTCCCCATTGTGTCACTGTGATCTATTGTTCCACATTCAGTGACTGGGTTTTCCCAGGCAGGAATTGCTATCTCACGGACTGCAGCCCAGCCGTAACGGAGGTTGGTTTGACCCTGAAATACAGTTCTCAGCTGGAGGGGTGGGGAGTAGCTGTGGGGAAATCCTGCTTTCACTTCCTAGAGCGTTCTGGGGGGTGGAAATACTAGTACCTAGTGCTGCTGTGTTTACTCGAAACTCCTGCACAATACACAGAACCCAACAGGCCGGGCAGGTCTCTCGATCGTATCCTAGAGAATGGGGCTAAAATAACGATATAAGTGAATGGTTCAGTGCCTCACCCAAGTGCCTGTTCAGGTGTTTGCTCAGCAACTAACTACCTCATAGACTCTGCGCCTCACTGCTTAGTTCTGCCCCGTGGCTAACGGGGTGATGGACGACTCAGACGTCAAACACCAGGGCTGATCCTAGGCCCAAGGGTCAGAGCCACACGGCCCTCTCAGAGACACAAACACACAGACCTCTGTCACCTGGCCTGGTCAGGGACCCAAACCCCAGCCACACGACCCACACGGAGACAAACAGCAAACAGACCAACACACAACTCCCCAAGTGGGGATCCACAGCTACGCCCTGAAAAACTCCCCTGCTTGCCTCTCCTGTTCGCCTGCTGAGCTGATCCCTTGTTTAGAGGATATGGGGTGGAGTTGGGTCTTTGGGGGGCAGATTTTTCTAGCCCGGGAAAGGGAGCCAGGCATTGGAATTTGGATCCCGGGGGAGAGCCAGTCACATGGGGACTAGGGCGTGGCAGTGTCTTGCTCAGGGAAAGCAGGGATAGGGTCAGGAATGGGGAGCAACTGGCCAGGGGTGTTTACTGGAAGGGGTGGGGACTTCCACTGAACACATGGAAATGCCGTCACTCCCCCGGCCTTTGCCCGTAAAGGAGAGGATGTGTGGCAGGGCCGACTCCAGGCACCAGCGGAGGAAGCACGTGCTTGGGGCAGCAAAAATGGCAGAGCCGGCCCTGCGCAGTGGTGACCTTGCCCAGCTACATCAGAGTAAAAACTACAGAGCCCCTTGGAGGTGAAAATAACAGCTACAAAACTGTCCCAGTAAAAAGAAGTCGGGCGGCTCTCAGTGTATTTCCTCCGAAGTGAACCAGTTCTTACTCTGGCTGTGACAGAAATAAACTATTGAACAGACTCAGTAATGCCAGCGGGCTAAGAACTGTGCACATCCTGTTCCATCAACGTGCTGCCCTGTTTCCGGGAGATCCCCAGTTCAAGCCCTTCCTCCACCTGAGAAGAGATTTGAACAGGCATCAATCACCTTTGGGGGAAATGTCCTAGCAACTGGCTTATGGGATAGTCTGGTGTGGGGCTCCCTCAATCTCTGCTGTTCCCCAGGGGATACATAATTTTAAAAAGGCCTTGGAGGCGGGGGATGGGAGCCTGGGATTCTCACTGCCAAGGCAGGTGTCAGGAACACTAGGGTACAGGGTCTGTCTCACACTTGCTCTCTCTCTCTAAGGCCAATTATTCTGTCACTACGTCTGCACAATGGAACAAATTCAGCAGTGGGCCAGAGAAAGAGAGAGCCCAAGCGGCTAAGCATGGGAATGACTCTGTAGACCAATGGTTGGTGCCCTCACCACCTAAGTACTAGGCCTTAGTTCAAATCCTTCTCCCTCTCTGGTAGATGGTGTGTGTGTGTGTGTGTATGTTCCTGTTTGTTCCAGGTAATACCCTAACCATTGGGCTTGAAGTTAGGAGGGAAGTCCTCATATTACCTCCCAACCCCCGCTTTTTGTGTAAGCTTCTTTATACAACTACTAGATCAGGTCCCACATGTGAGTTAGGTGGAGGAACGCCTGTTTTCCCCTTGTTCATGCACCACTGTGGAGCTGCAGGGGGCATGTGCAGAGGCAGAAACATAGGAGCCTCGGGAATTCTTTACTGAAAAATTAAGGTGCCAAACAAGTTTACGCACCTATAGGGTTCAGGAGCAGCTGAGTGGGGAATCCCAAAGAGGGCCTGATTATGGGATTTGGGTGCCTAAAGTGGCAGTTAGGTAGGGATAGATGGATAGATATCAGCTGCCCTGGCAATCTCTGAGAAGAGATGAACAGCTTTCTGCCTGGGAGGTTCACTGATGCTATGAACGGATCGTCTCGGTGGTTGTATCAATAGAGGACAGATCTTTAAAATGAGCAAACAGGGATGTTTGCACTCTATGGAAATAGTTGCAGTCCAAGTGTGTTAGGATGTAGATGTGGGCACAGTAAGTGGATTCTTTGTTTTCACTCCCTAGGGTTTGAAATATTTCTGTAGCTTTCCCCTGTCCTGAAACTTTTCTAATCTTGTAACAAATTTGAGATCTAAAATCAACTCAATGGAAAATGTTAGACTTTTGATTCCAAGCACCAAATTCTGCCCTCTGAGACTGTAATTAGTATTACAGAAACACCTAGCGATCCCACCCTGGAGTGGGGGCACATTGTGCTAGGGGCTGCACATAGGGACGCAGTCCCTCTGCTGAGGAGTTTGCAGTCTGAGACAGACAAAGGCTAGTAGAGAAAGAGAAGTAAAGTGACTTGCCCAATGTCACACACAGCAGGCCAATGACAGAGCTGGGATGAGAACCTAGATCACCTGGCTCTCACACCGGTGCCTTATCTACCAGACCACAGCACTCCACAGGTACCATTGGTGCTGGACAGATGTAGCTGTGGTGAGATCTGTATCATTGACTTTTTTTGCATTTATAACTTTTTATTAATTTTTCCAAATACAACAAATAGACCAAAATACCAGATTCATCATAATACAGACAGTAAGTAAAGGAGGTCAGGCCAAATGGAGGGGACGGGGGGGGGGGGGAAGGCGACATATCTATCTTAAGGCTCTGCATTAATCACAGAGCTCTAAGAAGTCAGCGCAAAGACTGCTGAATGCAGTCATTGGTTGGCTGCGAGGTCGGCCATATCACTGAGCCAGGCATTAACGTTTGGTGGGGATGGACTTTTCCATTTTTGCAAGATGAGTGTTTCAGCGACCAAAGCAGATTTGTATCACTGGCTAAACCACAGTCCAACCTGCTGTCTAGAGATGAATGCAGCACAAGTGTCTGTAATGAGGAGTAAGAATTTAAAGCTGTTACTATACCTGACTTCCCCGAGTGGCTGCGATTCCCGGGCAGGCTGCTGACCCAAGCAAGAGATGGCAGACTAAATACTACAGCTGCAAATGCTTATACTACAGGAAACGGCCTGCCTTTAGTTAAGAAACCTCCCTGCTGACTTTCACTTTCAGAATTAATGGAATTGTTTTTAGCAATAAGGGGTTGAGCTTACTCTCACTGAAGCCAATGGAAAGATTCCCATTGATTTCAATGGGCTTTGGATCAGGCCTACACAGACTCAAAAGGTTACTATGAACTTGGGCAAGGGGTCCTGAGTATTCCCAATATCACCTATTTCCAAATGTATCCACAAAACTATCTCCGTTTTATCCTCTGTGCTTCCTGTTCAAGGATTCTTTATCTCCCTGAACCAGATGTTAAAGCCAAGTAAAGACTCCAAACCCTCTGGCTATTTTAGGGGCAACAGCTTACTTAGAAACCAAGGAAAACAACATTAAGTTGGGGAATGGTTCTGCTATTGTGGGGAACTTTCTTGGCTTATACACCGCCCCTGTGAAATGGGCTAGCGAAAGGATCTGAGTCTTCGTTCCCACTTCCTTTACCCAGAGGCTGCCTGACCTTGAGGACTCCCCTTCCACTCTCCTGTATGAGTCCTCATAACCCCGACAAGGCTGGGCCCAGGATTCCTGGGGGGCTCAACCACCACTCTTGGCATGGTCACTTAGGGCGGGGTTAGGGTGTCCCCACTCTGGGGTCCTCTCTCCACACTGGACACTTCCCTGACCCACTGATCATTACATGCAGCTCAAAGCAAATACAATGTATTAAACAGCAATCAATTGAAAAAAATAAGGAAAAAATGGGAAAGGTGAAAGGAAAACCCGTCACCCGCTCTGTGACACGGGGACATCACAACCAGCGTCTCTGGGATGTCAGGGCAGTTCAGTCTGTTCCTCACAGGTCCCAGGCCCCTTCTCAGGCCCTGGCTGTGCTGCAGAGACGCTGCGGGTCGGACACTTGCTCTGGCGGTGGCCACACGCCCCCAGGCTCTAGGTGGCAGGACCCTTCTTCCCAGCGTCAGCCCCCGCCCCCTCGGGGATACGATCCCCCTCCAAGTCTGGCCTGCAAGGCCTCTTGGCTGGGGGCGTCTCCCTGCACTGGGCCCACTGCCCAGGGTCCCCCTCACTCTCCCCAGCTGCTCACCGCATCCAGCTCTGGATTGCTCCAGCCCAAGCTCCTATTGCAGCCCCAGCCCCAGCTCCAGCTCCTCCACTCTGCCTCAGCTCCTGCTCCACTCTGCTGCCCCAGCACTGCTGCTGCTCTGCGACCAGCTCCCTGGGCGGCTTCTCTGGCCCCTCCGGCTGGCGCGGCTCCACTCCCCAGCTCAGTGTGGGCCCCTGCTCTCCCCTTAGCTCTGCCCCACTCTGTCTGACCCAGGCCATTCCAGCTCACCTGGAGGACGGGACGCCCCTGGCCTCCTGACTCTCTGATTAGCTGCCCGCCCTGTCAATCAGGCTGACCTGGAGCATTGGCCTCTCCCCATTGTTCCTGGGGACTGTCAGTCTCAGGCTCCTGATTTCCCATCCACCCTTCCCCTTTCTTTTGGTACTGGGAGCTAGCAACCATAACCCCCACTGCGTTTTAGTAAGAGGCCAACAGTCCCATTACATAGAGTTTTGACGTCCTACTGTAACTGGAGTTAACTGATTGCCAATTAACCCAAATGAACAGACAGCTTTTAAAATGCTCCTTTAGGCCCTTTCTGGTGCCAGACCTGAGACTCCTGGGGTCTGACTATCAGAGGGTTTGAGCCCATAACCTCAGCTGAAGTTAGTGGGAGCTGGGAGCACGCCATCAAGTGACACAAAAGCAGACGCTGCTTTTGGAAACGTTGCCCTAAGCACTTGTCTTTAACCTTTTTCTTGGAGGTCAGCGATTCCCCCCGGGAGAATGGAACATTCCGTCATGGGGCACACTGCTGAGAATCCCCGCGGGAGAGGAGCCGATGGTTTATCATGAAAACGCCAAGAGACCTTTAAGTGCAGCGTCAGCATCCAATGCAGTACGTCGTTCGTTGGCTGGAAGCACTTGGCATTTCTCTCCAAGAATCTGGCTCTTTTTTAAAGTCTGGCTCATCAACTAGATTGGGCTAATTCCAATATTCCTCGATTATAACCCCATTCATTTGTAGTGCCGTGTCTAGGCAGGGTAAGCTCCCATGGCGAGGCTCACCAGAGTTTGTCCCTGGAGAGCTCAGACTGAGGCTGAACATCGCACCCGATTGCAGTTACCCGAAACGTTCTGCTTGTGTTTCAGCCAAGAGGACTTGACAAGATCGCGGTAGCTCTGGTAAGAACCTAGTTGTTGGCGTTAATTGATTTGTGAAGCATTGTTCTCATGCATGGAAGTTCTGAGCATGCAATCCCAGGACAGTCAGTGGGCAGGCAGGTGAGTAAACTAGCCCAGAACTGGGCCTTTGAGCTCACCAGTTAGAAATTTCATCTTCTGAGCAAATTTGATAGGAAAGTGACTGAGAGATATAGACTTGGGACCCCACAAACTGTCCTGGTACAGAGTCACCTGGCCGAGACACAGATTAATCCGTCACATGTATTCATGAAAATACTCTGACTTAGTTCATTTCTGAAAAGTCTTATACTGAAGTCATCAAAAGTTGGTACAAAAGTGCTAGCATGACAGGAATACAAGTAACTATTTATATAACAGACACCAACTTAACAAATCCCACCTGGACTAGAACTATGAGCTTCCATTTTGATTTACTCATCGGTAACGTACAATCAAAGCTTGCCCAAGCAGGTACCAGCGACACTCCCTCCATGTTCCTGGTTTCCCTTTGGAACGCTGGCAGCATAGCAGGACGGCTTTGGATCTGGCAAGTCCCATCACCATGATTTGTGTTAGAGAGAAAAAGTGAGTAACATGAATAGGACAATTGAGAAACCAGCAAACAGTTTCATAGCAGCCACGTGGACCAGGATGACGGATCCTCCAAACAGTAAATGGCTCAGAACACTGGGAAAGGCGATGCCACCTCTGGTAACTGTTAATAGGAAAAAGCAGATCAAACAATTGATAGGAAATTATTTCACATTGACAGAGATCCTTAAAGCTGGACACAGGTACCCTGCTCACCAGCTACTGAAACCTGTTATGCCAGAGGGACATTAATCCAATTCCCCTCAGCAGGACACTCCAGCCTGGGACATTCATCTCACTGGTGAGATATTTCACCTGCTTCCTCCCTCCTCAGCCTGCTTGTTCCTTTGGTACCAATCATTAGTGAGCACGTTTCACCCAAGCCGGTCCCAGAGGCTCCGATTTGGAGCTTGTCGTCTGCCACATAAGTGTATTCCAGACCAGTTATGAATAATAAAGACATGAGTCTATGAGACAGTGGCTGCAGACACCAGTAGCACCATTTCTGTTTGTTTGTTGGTTTGTTCTCTTGGCTTTAGGGAGAAATGTAGAGCAGATCATTCCATTTTGTGGAGGATTTTGATATTTCAAAATTTGGTTTTGTTCTGACTTGGAATAAAAAACAACACCATCATTTTGAAATTCTCTACACAAGGGAAGGGAGCGTTGGCTCTGGGGCAGTGCACCGAGCAGGCTGTCCCAGGGTCGGGGCCATTGGAAGTCCTGGGGTCTATGACTCCTCGGTAGCCCACCAGCCAAGCTGCCAAGGAGCCAGGCGGGTGATCTGGCCAGAACCCAGGCAGCGTTCTGACAGAACAGTGTCGAAATCAAACCAGCTCTGCAGAAGGTGAAGAGTTTGACAAATTGTCAAATTCCAAGGAGAAAATATTTTGTTGAGATTTTTCCGACCTGCTCTGGTAAAATAGTCCTGTTTAGACCTTGAGAGGATGTAGTTCCACTGGGGCTAGAATGGGGCTAGTTATGAGAGGAGGGAGATGGAGACACACTTGTGGTGTTGGGTTAGGGGATGTGTGTTCAGCTTATAGGTCAGGACACTGAAGATAAATCTTTAGGGCTCGAAGGGGTTATTCTCCTTAAATTTTCTTTTCTGAAATCAACTGTGCCTGGAATTGAGTCAGACGTGAAGGTGCTCAGATACTAGTCATGAGCTCCCTACGAGAACCTGGATAAATAGACAGAACGTGCAGTTCATCCCACTTTTTTCTCAAGTTGTTTCCCTGCATATGACATGTTTGCCTGGTGGGGTTGCTCTGTGCTCTGCACTTCAATACAGAGGGAAAGTTATTGTCAAAACAATGAAAACAAAATGCTTCTTTCTTACCAGAGTTGTCAACACATATTTGGTTCTTCTCTCCTACGGTACAAACAGAGAGGGTCAATGAAATGTGACCTCAGGTGGAATTTTCAACTCCATTCTACTATTTCCAAAGAAACATAGTAATTGTCAGACTGGATCCCACCAACAGGCTACATCTAGCCTGGTGTCCTGTCCCTGACTGAGGTCAGGCACAGCTGCATCAGGAGAAGCTGCAAGAAACCCCGGAGTGGAATTACCGACACATACAGGAAATTACCTCCCCAACCCTGGCAGTTAGTGACTGCTGTATGGCCTCATGCCTAAGGGTTTAGTGCTCTTTTAAAAAAAAATTTGTATCCTATGTAACATAACTGTGGAGATTCTCACTGTCTATATAAATAGTTAATTCTTTTTTTGAATTCTACTAAGCACTTGACCTCATGAAAACCTTGTGGCAATGAGTTCCACGAGTTAAGCCTGCATTCTACAACCCCTTTCACTAATTAAAATATATTATCTTCAGTTTATTCATGTTTTATGATAAAGTGGTAAATTAGACACTGCCATTTTCCCTATCTCACTTGTTATTTTACAGATTTCTATCACTTTTTTATGTCTTTTCTCTTAACCAGGGGTTCTCAAACTGGGTGTCGGAACCCTTCAGGGCATCGCGAGGTTATTACATGGGGGGTCACGAGATGTCAGCCTCCACCCCAAATCCCGCTTTGCCTCCAGCATTTATAATGGTATTAAATACATTTAAAAGTGTTTTTAATGTATAGGGGGTGGGGAGTCACACTCAGTGGTTTGCTATGTGAAAGGGGTCACCAGTACAAAAGTTTGATAACCACTGCTTAACTAAATCATCCCAATCTCCCCCAAAGAAATCGCTCCAGACCTCTGATCATTTTCATCCTCCTTCTCTCTGGAATCTTTTCCCACCCACCCCCTTCCGATAAATCTTTCAGAGCTCAGGTCATCAGAGCCAACCCTAAAATCCCAGTGAAGGGTGCCCCATGGGTTAATATAATGGTGATACAATATTTTCACATTATTCTCCATTCCATCATTCCTTATGCTTGCTAGCATTTTGTTTCCTTTATAGACCTAGCAGCACATTGAACAGAGGTTTTCACTGAGATTTGCACCGAACTCGCCACAATGCTGGCCAGGTTTCCTCCTGAGTCGATACAGTTCATTAACAATCCAGTGAAATTATCCCTCACAACGGGCGTTACCTTGAATGTGTGTCAGGGAATGTCACCTGATGTTGCGTTGCCCATTCACCCAACTCGGTTAGATCTCTCTGAAGTTCCTCACCGGCGTCCCTAGTCCTGACTGCCCCGAATAATGTGCCATCTGCACACTAGGCCACCCGCCTGCTCCCTTCCCACAGCCTCTGGGTTTGCTGTGCCGTGTCTGAGGAGCCACAGCTGCTCTGCCAGGGCTCCTGTGGACTCTGTACGGGGCGTGGTTGTGTTGAAGACTCGCAGTGATTTGGGGCCTTCACCTGCCTTTCTAGTGCTCCCATCGCCAGGGTGTCATAGAATCATAGAAGATCAGGGTTGGAAGAGATCTCTGGAGGTATCTAGTCCAACCCCCTGCTCAAAGCAGGACACTTGGTGTCGTGGGTGTCTAGGCAGCTTCTCTTTCCTCAGTGAGCGAGTGGGACCCAGTGTCCACCCACCCCAGCCCGAGCCCTCTCTGGCAGCAAGAGTCGTGGCAGCCTGTCTCCCCCAGCCCTGGTGGCAAGTCCTCAAGTCAGCGTCCCTCTCGTCAGCTCTCCCTGAAGTGGGGTTTTCAAATTCTCCACAGAAAATAGCCCCACCCAAATATTTCTCCTGTTCAGCCCAGTACTCACCGCCCAGGTACGCGCAGTTAAAATGGCTGCAGGTCCGGTTTGTGCTCCGGAGGACAAAGCGGTTATTCCTTTGTCCTCGGGACATGTTGAATATCTCATGGACTGGGATTAATACTTCTTCCTCCTCCTGAATGCGAGAGAAGGCCCTGATCTCAGCACCAAAGCACGTGTGGATGGCGAACAATGTGTCCGTACCAAATGTCTTAGCTATTCCTATATCAAAAGACGAAGAGGCAAAGTATCCAAACCTAATGTGACCTGATCCCGTGTGCTGAAATCTGGCAGAAACCCCCCGGTACACCGTCCTTTTGTACATCACATCACACCTCCCTCGTAAGAGCTGTGAAGCTCTTGTCAAATAATAATGAAAGGCTTTGAACTGGAAACTGGCCATGTAATGAGCTCGAGATATCCCAGCCTCTCTCACTGCCGCATTCAACTCACGGTGAAAGTCATCGTCAGTATAGGCTATTATGGCTCTTCCATGCTCATCTTTAAAGCCTGTGGGCAGAGGAATCTTTTTCTTTACAAGTTCCCATTTTTGTTCTGAGTTTTCCCACACCCTGCTAAACACTGAGGACATGGACTTTTCTTTCTCTAGCAGTCCAGGTGCAATTCCAGCCATTTCTTCAGCACATCCTATATATTGGTCATCAAAAGCGTCATCCATCATGCTCAGCTCCACCTGGCATTTTGCCTGGGAGAATAAAAGAAACATACAGTCACACTGGCATTTGTGTTACAGTAGCACTTAGAAGTCACACCCAGGATCAGGGCCCCATTGTGCTCGGCCCTGTACAAACACACTTGGAATGGCCTCTGCCCTAGAATCTTACCTCTAAAGCGACAAGGCAGAGGAAAGGGGGGAGAAAGGGATGGAACAAACAAGCAGAATCCTCAGTGTGTTGTTTGGCAAATGTCACATTGGAGCCTCGATTTTTGGGAGGGAGGAGTGGGGCAGGGACCAGCAAGCTATGTACCTGTGACAGAGGTGTTTTTAGTTTACTGGGCTGTGTCTAGATGTAGGGTTAGGAAGAAAGGCAGGAAGGGATACATTAATAGGGAAGACAAAGCAGGGGGAACAAGGGACATAGAAGTGAGGGAGCTAGGAGAGACTGAGATCCCAATCCACTCCCACAGAGATATCTAAAATCACATCCATCTACCTCAGGGGGAGTCAGTGGGTTGCCATCTCCGTATGCCAGCCATGCACTGCATGCTCCAGGGCTGGCGGTGCCCGTGAGAAGGTTACATCCAGGATCCAAGCCCCGAACGCGCATGGAGGACAGCAACATCGTTGTGGTGGGTTGTATAAACCCCACACTGGTTAACCAGGGGTTGACAGGAGCCTGAGCCCCTTTAGGCTGCAGGGTGGCACCTGGAGGGGTGTTAGGCACAACTGGTGATCGAACCCAGCTGGGGTGGATGGGAATGCCCCCTCGTGGGCTAAAGCCAGACAGAGGCCTGGAGCCAGAACTGGAGGGCCCGGAGCCAGGAGGAGGCCTGGGAGGCTGGGGGTAGTGAAGCCTGCGGCCAGAGGTGAGTTGCCTTGGGCCAGGAGGAAGCCGGCGGCAGTGTTAGTAAAGCCTAGGGGGAGTTGGGACTGGAGTTTGAGGGGCTGCAGGGAGAGGGGGAAGACCTCGGCAGTCCCTCTCCTGGCAGTACAGAGTGGAGTGACCTGAGGGGAACAGGAAGGCTCCTGCAGGGTAAGGAGGAAATTGGTTTAATTTTGTTCTTTTGGTTTGGGATCCTGTTGGGGGATTCTCCGGGGGAGCCTTGCGAGCCCAGCCCTGAAAGAAGGGTGGGCCGGGAGAGGCTGTGCGGGCTGGGAAAAGGCTGTGGTAGGAAGATACCCATGGAGGCAGCAGCAAGGAGTCTGACGGAGCAGACCTTGGCTGCTGGTCAGAAGATACCTGGTCTGGAACCCAGTTTAGTGGGAGGGCCGGGGTTCCCCAGCAGCCACTAGGGAAGGTGGCATGGGGCCCTGATTAGACAAACACCTGTCCGGGCTGGTCTCGGTGCACGTGGTCCAGCCTCAGCACACAAGGCTGCACTAGATAACCTCTCGTGGTCCCTTCCAGCCCTACATGTCTATGGGTCTAAGGCAGTATGGCTGCCTGCATAGCCTTGAGCAGAAACACGAGAAAACACAGAGTGTTTCACTGGCAAAGCTCAAGAGTTTACCTGAGGGATTCCCAGCCAGGTCTGAAGACAGAAGTACGTCAAGGGGATCAGCAGAGGCTTCATAATGGTTCCAACATCCCTGTGCAGCTGCAGGAGAATCCATCAGGAACGTCAGTGGAGATTTGGGGGGAAAGAACACATCAAACCCAAACATCCTCCCCATTGTTTCACTGTGATCTGTTGTTCCACATTCAGTGACTGGGATTTCCCAGGCAGGAATTGCTATCTCACGGACTGCAGCCCAACCGTAACGGAGATGGGTTTGACCCTGAAATACAGTTCTCAGCTGGAGGGGTGGGGAGCAGTTGTGGGGAAATCCTGCTTTTACTTCATGGGGATCACATTTCCCTAAAAGACTTTGGGGGGGTAGAAATACGATCCATAGTGCTGCTGTGTTGACTCATAAGTGCCATTACACGGCACAATACACAGAAACCAGCGGCCGGACAGGTCTGTCGATCATCTCCTAGGGAATGGGGCTAAAATAACGACATAGCTCAATACTTCAGTGCCTCACCCAAGTGCCTGGTCAAGTGTTTGCTTGCCACTAACTACCTCATACACTCTGCACCTCGCTGCTTAGTTCTGCCCCGTGGCTAACGGGGTGATCCACGACTCAGTCGTCAAACACCAGGGTTGATCCTAGGCACAAGGGTCGCAGCCACACGGCCCTCGCAGAGACACAAACACACAGACCTCTGTCACCTGGCCTGGTCAGGGACCCCAACCCCAGCCACATGGAGACAAACAGCAAAGAGACCAGCACACAACTTACCAAGTCTCTTGACCTCCATGCACTGGATTGACATCTATGCCCTGAAAAACTCCTCTGCTTGCCACTCCTGTTCTCCTGCTGAGCTGATCCCTTGTTTAGAGGATACGTTGTGGAGTTGGGTCTTTGGGCGTTGATTTTCTGGCCAGGGAAAGGGAGCCAGGCATTGGAATTTGTAGACTGGACCGTGGGGGAGAACCAGTGACAATGGGGACTAGGGGGTAGCAGTGTCTTGCTCAGGGAAAGCAGAGTTAGGGCCAAGAGTCGGAAGCAACAGGCTTGAAGTGTTTCCTGGGAGTGTTTCCTGGGAAGTTTAATGGGCAGCAGGTTTAAAACAAATAAAAGGAAGTTCCTCTTCACACAGCGCACAGTCAACCTGTGGAACTCCTTGCCTGAGGAGGTTGTGAAGGCTAGGACTATAACAGGGTTTAAAGGAGAACTGGATGAATTCATGGAGGTTAAGTCCATTAATGGCTATTAGCCAGCATGGGTAAGGAATGGTGTCCCTAGCCTCTGTCTGTCAGAGGATGGAGATGGATGGCAGGAGAGAGATCACTGATCATTACCTGTTAGGTTCACTCCCTTTGGGGCACCTGGCTTTGGCCACTGTCAGTAGACAGGATACTGGGCTGGATGGACCTTTGGCCTGACCCAGTATGGCCATTCTTATGTTCTTATGTTCACTGAACACCTGGAAATGCCATCCCTCCCCTGCCTTTTGCCCGTACAGGAGAGGGTGTGTGGTGGTGCTCTCCCTCCCATAGTGTAGCTGAGGGGTTAGCTTGGTGTAGGCAAGTGCTGAGCTGTACCTGGGGTGGTGGGATGGATGTCAGCACAGAGTAAATGGGTACGAAATGTAGGGGTGTGATGTGTGCACAGAACAGGTGGGTGGAAGATGAATCTGAACACGTTTCATATTTCTTTGAAGAATGATGGGCCGGGTGATGCTTCTTTGTTTGAAATGGCTCTTCCACGGTAGTCTGAGATTGCCAATGTAAGCAGGGTCTGCTGAATTCTTCCCTGACAACTAGCTGGGAGGGGGAGAGACTTCCGGAGCAAACTGTATTTACATAAACACACCTACTCTGCTTAGATATCCAGCAGACAGAACGCTGTTGCTCAAAATTATCAACTTTGGCTGGGGTTGGGTTACAAATCAGTGGAGAAAGTAACTGAAATACATTCCGCATGGATTGTATTTTCTAAATGGACAACCTACCGTAAATTCTCAATGACTGAGGGACAATCTTCACTCATTGCTATATTTGCTTTCCACAACCAACTCCCTGTATAGCTTTCCTTGAGTGATGTACCCGAATACTTGGATGCTAATATCTAAACTATATTCTTAAATTTATTCACCTAAATTTGGGTTGTTACTGATTATGCACTATAAAACTTGGTATTTGTGGATAATCTAAGCACCATACCCGGATGTACAGACGCTCTGTTCTTAACCTGTGAATTATATAATTTTTTAACATTAGCTGTAATAAAAAAATTTAAAACTGAATGCAGGGGTAGTGAAATGCTGTTACCAATATTGGTGGCATTATTGTCATACAGGGAAGCAGGACTGTGCTTAACCTGTCCCAAATGAGATGGTCACCCTCAGATGAAAGAACCTTGTTAAGCCAGGGGCTCGAATGCAGAGCCTGTGAAAGTAAGAGGGGTGGGGACAGCTCTCCCTAGGAGTCCCCAGACTGGTTTGACCTGTTCCTCCCCACTGTTCAAAAGAAGAGCTAAATAGTCTTCATTGGGAGCATCTATTGTTATTTTAAATGCTCAGTCAGAGCAGAAATCAGTTGTGGTAGGACTGTGTTTCTGCCCAACCTGCTAAGAGCTAAACATCACTGAGAAGTGAAATCACTTGAGATGGGGCAGTGTCTCTGCCCAGCCTGCAAAGAGCTGAAAATCGCTAAGATACTGAGGTGCAGCGGTCACAGCAGAGAGGGTGGCAGCAGAAGGTGACTGGCAGTCGGCTTGTGAATGAGTGGCTGGTGCGAAGGTGAGCAGAGTGAGTGGCCAGCAGGGCAGCTGGCGGGGAGGCGCAGCGAGCGAGTGCCCGAGCAGCGTAGCGAGTAAGGTGCAGGACACCCAGAGTTCTCAAGTAACGGCACAAACACATTCCTAGGAGATGGTGCAGGGACACACTGATCCTGAGTAAGATAAGGAGGCGAGGCCTTATCCTTTCGCTAGCCGATTCCAGGGGTAGTGCAGAAGCCAGGAAAGTTCCCCACAATAGCAGGACCATTCCCCCACTTACACTTACAGACATGGGTATGTCTAGAGAGGAGTTTTGGAGTCCTACTTTCAGTGGGGTTAAGGTCAGCCATGAGTGTGGGGGGAGGGGACACAGTGGTAACCCTGCCCAGCTACATCAGCGTATAAACTACAGAGCCCCTTACAGAGGAAAATAACAGCTACAAATCTGTCCCCGTACAAAGATGCTGAACGGCTCTCAGTGATTTTGCTCCATAGTGAGCCAGCTCTTACCCTGGCTGTGAGAGGGCTCAGTGGGGGGGGGATCCGGGTGCAAGTGGCTTGTCGAGATAGTCTACATTGAAACCTATGGTGGAGTGTTAGCAAAAATGCTGAATTACCAAATCCGCATAGATCACCCGGATCCATGGAACTTAAGGTGTTCCATTTTTGAGAAAGAAAAATTAAAGAGAAAATCTCGGGAGGTGGAGGAAAGGGACGATGTATCTATTGTAGATAACACTTTAGAAAGAAAATTGAGAAGCAAAATAGAACAGTTGGATCTGGCACAACGAGCCTTATCCCTGGAGAAAGGGATTCGTGAGAAGTTAAGACAAAGTAAGTAAGCCAGACATGTCACAAACCCGTCCGCAATTGGGCCGCTCACTACAAGAAACTCAGGGAAGTATAGACGTTGCTGTGAAGGCCTGTAAGGAGGCAATCCTAGATATCAGGACCTCTCAGGAAAGATGAAAGTCTTTGCAACCTGAAATTCCAGCAAGTAATTTCGATACCTTTAAGTCAATTGAGTCAGAAGGAAAAATGAAAAAAACAAGTGGCATAATTCATTTTGAATCTGATCTGCCCATTGTACCGCAAGCCACTTTAGAGCCAAAACCAGAACCTCTACCAGAATCTTTACAGAAACCTGCCAATAACCAACCGTCTGAAGGTGTAGGCACCTGCCCCAATCAAGAAAAGGTATAAAAGGTGAAAGCAAAATTCCCCATCTAAATTGTCCACTGTAGAAGCTGCCCAAACACGGGAGACACCGGTTCCTTTGAAAAAAAGAGGAAAAGGAAATCCCATATATAACTGTAAAGGAGGGAAAAAATCAACTTCTAAATTGGAACCATCAGGATTGAGTCGTCATGTCTCGCCATTGCAAAATTGGGAGAACAAATAAAAAAGGAGTTCCAGAGCAAACAGAGGAGTTCCAGAGCAGAGCAGAGGGTGGAGATGGATGGCAGGAGAGAGATCACTTGATCATTACCTGTTAGGTTCACTCCCTCTGGGGCACCTGGCTTTGGCCACTGTCGGAAGACAGGATACTGGGCTAGATGGACCTTTGGTCTGACCCAGTATGGCCATTCTTATGTTCTTATGTCTCCAATCAGCTTTTTGTGTAAGTTTCTCTACAGGGGCTGATCTGGTAAGCAAGGTCCAAGCACGCTTACCAGATCGGGTCCCAAAGGTGAGTTAGGTGCAGGAACGCCTGTTTCCCCTGGTTCATGAAATGCGCTGGGGCTGGCATGGGCCTGCAGTGCACATGCTCAGAGGCAGAAACATAGGAGCCCGGGGGATTGGTTACTGCAGAAATGTAGGTGCCGAGTGAGTTTATGCGCCTACAGCGTTCACGGGCTGCTGAGCAGGGGTTCTATGAATCCGGGGTGGGGGCCTGATTCTGGGACTGAGATGCCTAAAGTGGCAGCTAGGGATAGGTCGATATCAGCTATCCTGGCAATCTCTGGGAAGAGATGAACAGCGTTCTGCTTGGGAGGCTCGCCTGATGTTATGATCAGATCGTCTGGGTAGTTGTGTCAATCGAGGATGGATCTTTACAATCAACAATCAGGGATGTTTGCACTCTATGGAAATAGTTGTGATCAATGTATGTTATGATGTAGATGTGAGCAAAATAAGCAGATTTTTTTTTGTTTTCACTACACAGGGTTTTAAATATTTCTGTAGTTTCCCCGTCCCAAAAGCTTTTATAATTTTATAACAAATTAAAGCTCTAAAATCAACTTAACAGAAAATATTAGACTTTTCATTCTGTGCACCCCAGATTCTACCCTCTGATATTACAATTTGCATAACAAAAGTGCCTAGAGCTCCCAACCCAGATTGTGGCCCCGTTGTGCTAGGGGCTGTACATAGGGAGGCTGTGCCAATCCCCCAAAACTTACAATCTAGGGCAGACAAAGGTTGGTAGAAGAAAGCGAGGTACAGTGACTTGCCCATTGTCACACACAGCAGGCCAGGGGCAGAGCTTGGTCTCCTCACTCCCAGCCAGCTGCCTTATCCACTGGCCCACCCTCTCCCTCGGTTCCATAGGTACTGGACAGATGTAATTTCAGGCAGATTTGTATCATTGTCTAAACCACTGTGCGACCTGTTGTCTAGAGATAAATGCAGCAGGAGTGTCTGTAATTAGGATAATGAAGAGTAAGAATTGAATGATGTTACAATACCTGACTTTCCCAAGTGTGTCTGAGTCCCTGGCAGGCTGCTGGCCCGAGCAAGAGATGGCTGCAGTTGTAGAACTTAATCTGCAGTGTTCATAACACAGGAAATAGTTTGACTGTATCTGAGAAACCTCCCTGCAGACTTTCACTTTCGGAACTAACGGCGTTTGATTTTTTTAGGAAATAAGGGCCTGAGCTAAATCCCACTGAAGTCAATGGAAAGACTCTCATTGATTTCAATGGGCTTTGGATCAGGCCTGTACAGAGTCAAAACCACAAAACTACCCGCGTTTTATCCTCTGTGCTTCCTGTTCTAGGGTTCTTTACCTCCCTGTCCCAGATGTTAAAGCCAAGCAATTTTGCTACCTTGATGCTGAGCTCACTAGTACAATTGGCAAAGCTGTCAGGAACTTTGGTCTTTTGCAAGACAGAGCCTGGAACAATAACAAATTGTCAACTAAAGTGAAAATCTGTATTGGTGAGACATGTGCTTTATCCAGTCTTCTATCTGGCTCAGAAACATGCACGACTTACGCCAAACATACCAAAAGACTAAACAGTTTTGTAGCCTATAGGACTAACCTCCTTGCTTGTATATATATATATATATATATATATATATATATATATATATATATATATATATATATATA